AACGAGCTCCAGCAAAACTCCAATGCTTCTTCTAGAGAAGATTATATTCCACAAATATTGACCGTATTGTTAGAGATTCATTGTATATCATTCGTAAACAATAGCTAAAACAATGTAGCTACTCCGTCGACCAATGAGCGCTTCTTATTTTATTCCAGACAGATTTTACGTCATCAGTATGGATCTTCTTTCGCTGAGTCGCAGACGTTCCTCCGAGCGAAACGTCCCCAGCGGCGTACAGTTAAGCGAGGAGAAACGGCTGTTTTCGCAGGCTATGCTTGGTGAAGCCTTGGTTAGAATGTGTTTTGGGTTGTATTTGCAGAAATCCCTGCAGGGACAAAGCTGAAGCAAAACATATTTAACCTAAGGAAAAACTAGAACTTAGTCGAAACATAAAGCATACAAACCTCCTACTAGATAAGGTTACGTATTCCGCTATAATTTAGTTGACTATCAAGTCTCGTACTTTTCGATACATTTTTTTGAAACGTGCTCTAACATTCTTACCAGCGTATGTATACAGTAAAATCATTGATGCTATTTTGATTGATCAATTAAAATTGGCTTGGTAAAATTGGTCTGTAACTCGCTTTACGTCTTCTCTATTTAAGTACACCGCAAGAGAGATTTCGTTAACTCGTGGCTTGCCTGCTTCTGTCAGAAACTGGGATGCATTAAGGTGGCTCGATACAGTTTGTCAGGGTCAATACCTCCCAAGTTTGAGCGTAAACTACGACGCCATAAACAAAGATTAGGAAAAATTAACACCACAGTTGTATTAGATAAAGATGAAAATTTATGATGATCAGGGTTACAATGACATCGGAGTTGTCATAGCAACGAAATGACGCCATTACCTATTTTACCTGCAGCAGTATTTCTCGGCACTGGGAACTGTTCTTCCAAAATCGTTTACTGGAGCTTTTACCTACGATAGTTGCCTCGATGTTCGTGAAGTTTAAGCGAAATCTGTAAGAGCGTTATCGAGATATTCTGGGATGAAGTTTTTCTGGTTAGAAATACGGTAAAAAATTGACAATCTTGATGTTGGACTGTTATCTGTACTAAACGAAGCGCTTTTGACATGCAATTTCACCTCATAGTAGTTTCAATCTTTTTAAAAACGTATGTGAAAGATCACGGAGATACCTTCAGCGGATTGCTAGAAAGAAGGATTTGATTAGTACGTATCGGGGCGCTCTTGTTAGCCGTAATGTAAACATTTCGGTCTACTTTAACAAATTAGCGAATAATTTTTAAAACGCTCGATAAATTTTCTAAAAAATTTACAAGTGTTGAGATAAACCCTCCTCTTATTTGACCTCTTAGTTTCAAGATTATTGATATATTGTAAGGTAGTAAAATAAGGGCTACAATTCGCTAATATTTTGTCAGAAATCAAGATTGTCAATTTTTTACCGTATTTCTAACCAGAAAAACTTCATCCCAGAATATCTCGATAACGCTCTTACAGATTTCGCTTAAACTTCACGAACATCGAGGCAACTATCGTAGGTAAAAGCTCCAGTAAACGATTTTGGAAGAACAGTTCCCAGTGCCGAGAAACACTGCTGCAAGTAAAATAGGTAATGGCGTTACTATGACAACTCCGATGTCATTGCGACCCTGATTATAACCAATTTTCATCTTTATCTAATACAACTGTGGTGTCAATTTTTCCAAATCCTTGTTTATGGCGACGCAGTTTACGCTCAAACTTGGGAGGTATTGACCTTGAAAAACTATATCGAGCCACCTTAAATGGCTTAAAATCAGTTTCAGTGAGGTTCTAAAAAGAGAGAAATCTCTAGAGAGCGGATCACATGCATATTAAGCGGACACGAGCGTCAGTGTCTAAAATAATTCTTCGTGTCACGCTTAATTCCAAAGCCGCTTTCACGTTCACGTAAATATTGTCACGAATCACGAATAAATCAAAACTAAATAAAACCGCAAAATTTGCAATTTTGTCCCTAATGACTCGGAGTCTGGTTAGAACTTTGATATATCGAAATTTCTCAGGTGCCCATGACGGACGTGTACGCTCGAATTCGACGATCTTAAGGGAAAAAATAGGAGACCGTGAGCAGTGTACAACACCTCCTATTATGAGCTTTTCATAGTGTACTCGCATTCAAATTTGCTAATTCTGAATACCATTCTCACCAGGAATTCGACTGGTTGTGTTAGGGAACCAAAATTATAGAGATAATAAAAGGGGACGTCACAAGGTGCCATATCATAAGATATTCCTAAACTATTCTTTGGCTTGTGACTGGAATGGATACCTCAAAATCAGGTTGGACACCTTATGTTTATTACATAGCGCTATACTCTATACCACGCTATACAATACTTGTGCGAATTTATTGGTCACATTTTTGAGAAAAGTGGGGGAATCAGAGTAGGAGACAGTTGTGCGAGGAAAAGAGTTGAATACTGGGTTTAGCACCGAAGTACAGTGATTAGGGTTAAGCACTGTTTTAAAAACGGTTAGTTCCCAATAATGTAATGATCAATGCCATGTAAAGTGCGTTAAAATTAACCGGTGTCGGCAGTTAGCCCTGGATGGTGTCGTGGATATACGGATGTGGATTATTCATCAAATGATGCGGGTTAAAGTCCTACATACTACCTACTGTTTTCTTTCTTCTGTTACTTATTACTTTAAGTTATAAGACTCCTATCATGAATTTTGAGTGAAGATGACAATCTGACTTTGGGGTATCCATTCTAGTCACAGCCCTATTCTCTGGGCCAAAGTGGTCATACTAAAGACGTGGACTAAACGTTCCTCTAAATTAAGCTTAGTGTAACCGTACTCATCAAGATTTAGCAAAAATTGTACATATGGGTCATTTTCTTAATGACGTCATTGTACGGCAACTTTAACCTCAATCCCAGGTTCCTCTCTCTTTCCCTTGAAAATGACTATTTGTACCACGTGCAAAGGTTTTGCCTACAGGGCGTCTTCACTCGCGTGGCCATTAGCTCTGCAAATTTATTGCAAAAAAAGAAAGTTTTTACATAGCGGATCCGTAAAAGGTTGAACTCCCACAGGACTTGTTTGGGGCGCCATCATGGTCGCTGATTTATTGCGTTTTGGAATACCAATAGGGACCTTACCAAACGACAACGATGACGTCCATGAAAACTTCGCTGAAAAGTAGTAGAGACTCCGCATCCTTTCAAACCATTTCGCAATCATCCAAAGTCGCTCAGTTACTTAACAGAAGGGAATTTGTGTTGGAGCTGAAGAGGGGCGGCCGCGTCCGGGTTCAGACAGAGATGGGAGAATTTATCTTCTTGCCGTTCCCGTCCTCAAAAAAAAAAAACTTAAAATTTGGTCATTTCACGTCGTAGTCGTGCAGGGACGGCAAAGAAATATACAAAAAAAGGCTTAATGCACGCGCAGAGTTGAAGCCGTTGTAGTTTCGTAAGGTCCGTATGGCCGACGTGACGTCTACCGAAAACGCTTTAGTCGTCCTTTACTGTTTTTTGTATTTAAACAAAAATATAATAAGTAGTTTCATGCAAAAATCATTTAAATTAAGGCCCCGTTCACACCACTTTGGGTAAGAAATATGCCGTTTCGAAAATATGTGGACCGGACCTAGGATATTTTTTAACCCAATCTGACGTTTGCATTCACCGGAAACTTTGATCTCTCTATAATCATGCCTAACTTTACTCGAGTGAACCGAGACAAGATGCAGCATTTAAATCACTTTATTAGGAACGATTGTATTCCTTTACATGATGGACCAAAAGAAGGTTCTTGAAGCTGCGTGTCTCGCGTGCATGACAACTTGGAACTCACTGTGGCTTCTTGTTCAATCGTCGACCATTCACGTAAGTGTCCGAGACCACGATATCTTCCAATTCAAACGGGTCCACCTTTTGACAAAAGACAAAACAATATTCATTGGTGCTTGGTTTTTAAAGGTAAAGGCGATGAAACACGTGCAACAGGGAACACACGGCGTATTCATGGGGGAAGACAACCTCGCGCCAAGGGCTTTTCTCTGTAAAATACGAGAGGAGTCCCTCCCATTATCCTGGAGCAGATTGTTTGGAAAACTTTCATGATAATTTCCCGTAAAATCGTTTGAGGGGAAGGAAAAGGGAAGAGAAAGTTGTTATTCTTCAATTAGTGCGGATGGTAGCACGGTGTTCATTGAGAATCAAATTCAGAAGATGTCCCTCATCTCCGCAAACTGTAAATTTCTAAAAAATTGGCCTACGTGGGATTGTCCTACATCTTAAATCCTAGTGTACAGCCGCCCCCTCGATCAATCCTCGATTTTTGAGAGAAAAGAACGGCTGTACACTGGTTATCTGGTCTCTTTGTTTTCTACGAAGACAGTAATACTGTTGCTGAGAAAACAGTTTGTCTCTTCAGCTTATACGTGAGGTACTGGAATAAGCTAACTCCGGTGTTATATGCTGAGACTGAAGTAAAGCGTCCGAGTGTCATCGGAAAGGTTGTGGTGTGATTCTCTGTTGCATTTTAAAGGAGCTGTGTCCCGAAATTTACTTAAAATTCAATCAGTATGGACTAAGAGTTCACGCTCGCGCACACTCCCCTCACTAAATCGTAAGAAAATGAGAGACTGCTCCGGCAGTCTAAAACAGTGGGAATCACCAGCAAAATCAGTGAAACATAAAAATAACCGCTCAAAACGTTAAAAGAAGGTACAAATAACACAGCAAATACAAAAGAAGGCACGGATGGGCACATTTAAAAAAGATTAAGACGGATTGCAGTTGTGGTTTTTGAAAACTTGTTAACCTAACAGTTTTTCAGAGTCTATTTTTGTTGTTTGTAAAGTTTGATATAATGCTTGGGAGACCTTTTTATTTGACAAGAAGCTGTGATTTTGTCATTCACAAGTAATTTCTCACATTCTATAGCGACTAAGGACACGTAACTAGCTGGCATTATCAACAAAATCAACCAAACAGCCGGTACATAGCCCTTTGAGTTTGTCCACTATTATTACCTTGTATGGATTGTCTGAGACAATGATAAGATCAGCCTTTTTGCCTTCTTTTAAGCTGCCCAAACAATCATCTTTGTGAAGCTGCCAAGCTGCGTCAATGGTAACCGCCTTCATTGCCTCGTGAATTGTAACGCGGTATTCTGGTCCGTACACCTTGCTTTTGTCATCTCTCTGTGTGCGAGTCACCGCCGTCTTGATATTCGCAAAGGGAAGCGGGGGACCTGGAAAGGTTGGGTGATCCTGGTGAATACTCCAACGAAGGCCAGCCTTGGTTGCCGCCGAAAGGGGTGTCCAGCGGTTTGTGCGCTCTGGTCCGAAGATATTTTTGGTGTACGATGTACCGTAGAAGTACAGATGGGCCACAAAGAAAGACAAAGCCAGGTTAAGTTTCGCTGCGTACTCGATTTGCTCCACTGTACCCAATCCCAGGTGCTCCATTCGATGGCGAGGCGAATTAGAACTGTTGTACAAGACCTGTTTTAAAAGCAAAAATGAACATCATGTCAGTGAACTCTCTAACAAGAGAATACAGAAAAAAAAGCCTTTTGATTCTGTTCACAATTTGCAATTTTAAAGCGGAGGTCCTTAAAGGTTTGCGAGATAGTAGTGACGTAAGTCAGTAAACCTCTTCCAGGCTCCAAGATAGTAGTGAAAAAGGATCGAGAAAAGATACGTGAAAACCGGACGGGAACGGTTTTTCAGGAAATGGGCGGGTTAGTGCGTGACTTTAAGGTTCTCCCCTTCACTCTTTCGGCCTTTTTTTTCTCGCTCGCTATTTCACTGCTCTTTATTAAATGTCACTTAATGTGGATTGAGTTAGCCTATCACCCAGGCACATCTGTTTGCTAATCACACCCATCCGGCCCTATTACATACCTTATCATAGGCCTTGATCACTTGATCAATGGCGTCCTCACCGTGAGCATGCACAGCGATCTGAGTCTCCCGCTCGTGAAAGTACTTAATCGTCTCCTCTAGTTCACCATCGCTGTAGTTCAATGTACCATAGTTTGGAGCAGTCGGGAATCCTAGGATCTCTGTGACATTAGTCTCCATATATCGTGGCACTCTTATCGCGGATGTACCACAGTGGGGTGATCCGTCAGCAATGATCTTAACTCCCGCAATCCAAACATTGTCATTCGACTTGAAAGACCCCTTAGCCGCAGTTGCTGAACGCGGATCCTAGCATTATCACATAGCATAGTTATTAAAGTGGAATGATTATGAAAGGCGTTGGAACTGACCGTGCACAACGTTCAATAGCATTTCTATCATTTTGAACTTACTGACCAATAGAAGCATCACTTGAATTTATTCAGGCACAATTTGGGAACAAAAAAAAGGTGTGTGCACGGTTAGGGAGCTTCCAACATAAACTGCAGCATTGTTGTTTTCATTTTTGATATTTGCTGGCTTTCATAACCAGTCTCCTCTACTAACTGTGCACATAAGAATCATATAATTCAACATATTTATTTATGTCCTCTCATCAAGTTCTATTCACGTGAATTTATTCCCACCCTTTCCCGCCTCCTTCATCTTTCTAATGATCCGTCCATATCGCCGGTTCAAATTATCCCATAATATAATGTGTACACACGCACTGGATGAAAAAACAGATTTGAAATGAGATAAATGTGGGACAAATGTGGTCTAAATATAAAATTTGTCATATTTGTTCACATTTGTGCAAAGCACAAATTAGACATTTGTCTTTAAGACAAATAGGATAATGATGCATTTGCTATCTAAGACAAATGTGAACAAATGCTGTGTAAATGTAGGACAAATTTAACATTTGCTTTGTGACAAATACAGATAAATGAGCCAAACTGCAAACAAATGTGTTCAAATGTGTTCAAACTTTGTCAAATAACATATTTGTATGGACAAATATAGAGCAAATTTTATATTGTAAAGTGAGCGTGCCAAGCCAGTACATACGTACTACCCTTCTCTCTTTTCTTCTCTGGCATCTACCCCTTTATTGCTTCTTGCAATTTGCACTTAACACTAGCTTTCAACCTTTCTTTAAAAGGGACTATTGCTGCAGAAGTTCATTCAACTCAACTAGGACAGGTTGAAAGACCATCAGTTCGATCCCTTTCCCCCTCATTTATCACAACCCTTGCCTGAAACCCTGATATAACGAAGACACTGCTAAAACAGTAACAATCTTCATTGCACTTTGTTCCTTGAAACTTCTTAAATATCAGAGTTCCACTGTAAAGGGTGCAAGGTGATTACAATATTTAAAGAAAAATGACTCAAGAATTTTAACTGACAATTCTCATTTATTTCACAAAGCTTGTCCTGATCTTACAATTAACTGTAAAACAAAACTAAAACATTAAGTTTAACAAGTGTCAGTTCATTTCAGGATGACCAAGTCAAAAGACTTTATTAGGTAGATAAATAAACAAAAAGTGACCAAGTTGGGATTGCAAAAATCACTTTTTTTCCAGTGACCGAAATGGGGTCTATAATATGGCCACAGAGTAGACTATCGGTATACAGTAATGGGATAGGGATACTGAGAGGCTAGCAGCACATACCCAGTAAAAATTAACCATTAAATAAAACTTTCCCTTCAGGTACCATTGGTACAACATCCAACAAAGTGTATCTTTAGTTATTTACCACAGGAAAGATAACAACCTTCATTGCACTTAGTTCCACTGTTATTAGAGTATGTAATTTTAAATAATAGCTATTAAAAACACCTCTGTTAAGTGGACACGTTGAGATGGTCCCTGTTTCTCTTTATAACTCACTCTATTTGGATCTCTATAAGACGGATATACCGAATCAGTAGTGCTGGTCCCAAAGGTGTCCATCTTAAAGAGAGTTGACTGTCCAGACAAAATATTCTTATTTCTTATATTAAAAATATATCTAAATGCACTTTAGGAAATACCAATAACAAAAAGCAAATGCCTCACAATTGCCAAGGTTTGTTTGGTGGGCTATTGATACTTGCCAAAGATAACAAAACTAATGAAATAGCTGACTTCTGGAGTGACTGCTAGAGGGTTTAATGTACATTTGTCATTAATCAATAATGCTACAAAGACTTGACTAAAATTTGGTAAACAGCAAAAATTTCACATATCATAATATATTTTTGTACACGCATCTTATTGATAGCTTGAGAATTTGCAAAGTAATCAAAGACTATACCATTTGCACTCTTCAATGTTTGCCACAGTTAACCAAATAATCCAAGTTACATTTATATAAGCTCTAAGAAAATCCATAACATGTACTGTTATTAAAATCTATAAACAAACAATGGACTTTGGACATTTAAGCCAACAGTTAAACCTTGATTATCTCGACCTCAATTAACCAACTTTTTGATTATCACAACTTTTCCTCTGGTCAAAGATTTCTTAAATGAATATTGCAAATAAACGAGAAGGTAAACCTAAGCCTGATTTTCTTTTGGCTTCACAACTTCGAAAGAGTCATTGAAAAGTTTTCTTTTGTCTTTGAAAAGCAAAGTTGGTACTTTTATGTGATGTCAGCCTGCAAGGAAAGTCGTGTCCGATAGCCCGGGGCTAGTGGATTTTGCTATCGGGCTAGTGATTTTTGTTCTTAACTTGCCTGATGGGCAAGTGCTGTTTTTTGGAGAAATTCAAATTACCGAAGGATTGTAATCAATCCTGCTCTTCAAAAAGGGTTTGGGGGCTAGATGAAATGACTTGTGGGCTAGTACGGGGTAGCTACAGCTTGCCAGAATGGCAGGCTGTAAAACTGACTTTCGTTGCACCCTGGATGTATATGACAAATTAAGCTACCGGTACCCTATTAAGACAAAAATTGCCACAGTTGATTATCTTCTGTGGAAGGCAGCCTCATACTACTAATAACATATTATACTTTTCTATTATCTCCACTCTCTTTCTCATTAAATTCATATGAATTCATATAAACAAGGTCAAGCCAGGTTGTGTAATGCTGGTTTATGCAAACTTTGAGTTGAGATAGGAAAGCTTATAAACAAATTCACTTTAAAAGTTCTTTTTGTCTGCAATTTGATGATTGGATGCTCTAAAAAAGAAGAGCACATTGACTGTGAAAATGTTTTTGAATGAATGAAAAAGGAAACCAAATTATTTAAAAATTTATCCCCAGGTGGGTTCTAATAAGCCTTAGAACAACTGGGCCTAGGCCTTGACTTAGTCTGCTACACAGCCGTTTTTAGTGTCGTCACGCAACGCTACTTCCCACTAACGGCTGCTGAAAACCGAACTTCATTCCTTTCCCTTTGTGTTTGTGGACTAATGAACAAACCAATCATGTACAAGAAATTTGACAATACGTGAGCCGCAGGGCGCTAGGAAGCGAGCACGCTTCTCAGTTTTCAACAAATCAGTCAATCGTCGCTGAATTTAGACGGGCTCTGTCATGCTCTGTGTTTTCAAGCAACGAAAAGGTTAATTTGCAAAAAAAGTTTGTTTTAAGCGGTCAAGAAAGTTCCAAGTGAAAAGAAGGTTTGATAGGCCTAGAAAACTTTTACCAGGATCGGTTGGTTCTTCATGTAACGTGCATATGTGCTGATATGAAGTGAAGAATTTAACGTACCGGATGTGCTCATTGTGTTCTGTGAAGACTAAACTCTCAAGGGTACTAAGTCAAAAAGCAATCTTATAAATTATCGAGGAGCGATTTCCCAAAACTAAACCTGGCAACTTTATGAGCACATCCATGTTGTGAATCGCAATTTGCTCGACTTGCTTGCTGTTGCTGCTTATCTCCTAAATTTTGAATAGGACTCGACTACGACAACACTGTAGTTAATTGCTTGTTTTCACGCGACGATTTTGATTATTCTGTCATTCACACATGGGGCAACGATAAAAGCAAAGCTGTGATTGGAGGAGTCACAGTACCGCAAAGGTGGCGCGAACACTTTCCAGAAAATGGGAGCTGAATTATAATTGGCTAATCACGGGAAAGGAATGTAGTTCGGTTTTCAGCAGCCGTTAGTGGGGAGGAGCGTTGCGTGACGACGCTAAAAACGGCTGTGTAGCAGACTAGCCTTGACTGAGAAGTGGCCTGAATGTGGCTCATGATGGACCATCAGGTGCTGGCCTCTCGGATATCCCACCCTCAAACCTGGGCTTTGCCATAGCTCTGGCATGAGGGATAAGATTCTTAAGGTAAACAACACCTGAGGCTGTGCTCTCCAGGTCACCCGTGGCAACTGACTTTTAATCCTGAGTGTCTAAGGCCCAGTTCAAACGTCAAAATTCACATGCGCAGAACTTTATTCCTAATTTACTCTACTTAAATAGTTAAATGCGGCATTTGATTTAAACGTCGAATTTAACTCCCTAAACTCTGCTGAATTTAACTCTGTTAAAAGTCAATATTCCCAGTAATATAATAATAATTTACCAAAATTCATGCATTAAGTTGGCACATGTGAAATGCAACGTTTGAATCAAAAGTTGAACCTTTGTCAAATCTTCAACTGTTTCAGTCGCAGATACGGCAAACATCGCATTTAATTTGAACAGTCTTATTTAATTGATTCAAACGTTGCACTTCACATGCATTTAACTCTTGCGTTAAGTTTGGCTCAAGTGAAATTCGACATTTGAACCCAGCCTAAAAGAACGTTTTTCATAGGAACCATATCTTGAGCAGTGTGGATTTCACAGTTTCATAGCAATGGACTCAGACCCTTCAAATTTTCTTTGAGCACAGCCATTTGGCTAGAAAAACATTTTAACACTCACGAGGTAAAAAAATAAAACATAAATTTGTGAACATACTCCTCTTCCACTTTAGAGCCACTTGTCATGTTTTTTGTCAACCATCTTTCTGCATGTTGGAAACAAAACAAAAATTATAGTTGTAAATTTACCAAATAAAGTGCTATGTCAGATAAGCTTAAACTTAAGCTTTGAGACAGAAGCATATAACCCTGATAAGGACTCCTGCTTTGAGATAACCATAATCCTCCATAATATACATGTATTTGGGTGCTTCCAACAGCAACTTTCTCCAGGCCATCGATCTCGTTTTGTTTAAAGAAGAAATAAATATGCCCCACTTCAAAGACTAACATTGTCCCTCAAAAATTGGGCGCTTTAAGCTAAGTTGTAGGTTCCTGTGATGTTTGATACAACGCAGGCAAGTCGGCGCCTTTGAAGACACGCTATCAGTTCAGCTCCAAAGAATAAGCACAAACTCTGACGATCAAAAGCATTTCTTATATCATCAAAGCAACAAGAAAGTAAACCTACCCGTTAAATCTATTGGAACTTCTCCTTTAGATTCTCTGCGTGACAGTTTTGAGCCGCGTTTGCTGTTATTTAGTCGCTCCTGTTTTGCGAGTTACGTTATCTTGCTGAACTGCTGCGTTTGCTTCTTTTAGTTTCTTCTGGCTCTCTGAAATAGAATCTAGTCTCCTGTTCATGTTTTCCATCAGGAAAAGTTGTCTTTCTTCAGCAGGACTGCTTGTAGCCATGATTGAACCATAAAATACGAGTCTAAAGACAACGAAAAACTAAGGGCCAAGCTGACAAAGAACTTTTCGAAATGAACTGAAGACGCTGTCAAAATGGTGATCAAACATACCGCGCGTGTAGCTGTGGACATTTGATTGGCGTTCTATCGCTGACGTAACTTTAACGTCACAACGCGAGTACTTTTCGCGCATTCGCGCGCGCGTTCATTCAAAAAGACGATCAAGATGAACGGATTAGAGAATAGGGTGTACTTATCAGCAGCACTTATCTGGACTTAAGCATAAATTCTGGAATGGATTTCACGTAATACTGATATTTACTATAATTATTGTTATAGTGAAACCTCTATTAAGCGAACCCCCAATTAAGCGGACACCCTCTATTCAGCGGACACTAAACCGGGTCCCGAAATTTTAATTACGTCTTAAATTTCCCTTTATAACGAACCCCTATTCAGCGGACACTTCTATTAAGCGGACGCGGACACTAAAATAAATTGTATTTGGCTAATTTTTATTGTTAATAACCTCTATTAAGCGGACAGTGGACCGAATTAACAATAGTAGTACTGGATTACGTCCTTGAAAAACGTGCTGTAGTCGATTAATAAAAGTAAATCAATACAACATTTGGCTGTCGATAAACTGTAGATTATACCGAGAGTCTTGCACAACGTACAGCACGGCTTCCTTAGCTTCCTTAACAACATGGAACTTTATCACAGTACAGAGTAACCGTTGAAAGTTAAACATTGCGCAATTTTTACAAACCGTGTTAAGCGGACACCCTCTATTAAGAGGACGCTTGGGAAGGTCCCGAAGGTGTCCGCTCAATGGAGGTTTCACTGTATTATTATTATTATTTTTTTTCTATAGTTAGGTCTTTTTATCGGGAAATTGGTACGGAAAATTAACAGCAATAGATTTATATCTCGCCTCATGGATCAGAACCTTATCTTATTAAAATCAGCGCATTGACTATTATTATTAAAAAAAGTTATAGTTTTCAAAATTGTCACGGTACTTATTTACTTATTTATCTTATATTTGTTATTGCTTAAACATGACATAAAGAGTTCAGTGATTGTACAGTGGGACTCCGAAATAACGAAGAACATTTTTTCTAGTCCCTTGGTCTTTCATTATGTCTAGCGGTGTATATGGTGATGTGGTTTAGACCCTATAGTGTAGGGTGGTAGTGCAAATAAGACTCTGCCATATGGCTGAATAATTTTGGTCTTTTGACTAGAGTTGAACTTTCATATTTTCAGTGGCACAGTATAATGATCAAAACACTGACAACTCATCAAATTTAAGGAGTCAAAGGGAGGAGGAATTCTTTCCTTTTACATCTAATCCAACTTTTCAATCTTGGTAATAAAAAAGGCTAGTGAGCCTCACACTTGCAACGCAAGGTAACTTCCTAGCATACGCTAAAACTTCAAAAGACTCCTTTTTAAGACATGGATATAAACAAATTGTGATTTTTATGAAGAGACGGTAATTTCCTTTTTATTCACTTCACTTAAAGTAATTTTTAATTTCCCTTTTATTCACTTCACTTAAAGAATTTTTCATTTTAAATTTTTATCGTGTAGTCGTAATTTACGAAGGGCCCCTATTGATACCAGGCAACGGCTGATAGGGCCACTCTGCCTAAATAAAGTTGACTTGACTTGACTTGACTTGAATACAGTGGAACCTCGATATAACGAGCCTCTGTAAACGTTTTAATCAGCCTATAAAGTACGGTAAGTTGATCGGAGCATTGATCCAGTGTGAGTAAGGCGCAATAATAGCTAACCAGAAAATCCCTCATTGCAATTTCTACATATCTACACCTACATGCATCTACGAGTACTTGACAAGGGTTACACATTGCGCCAAAAACAACCAAATAAATAAATAAATTAATTAATGAGACAAACAATAGCCTTGTTTCTAAACAATTCAGAAAATCATATAGCGATTTTAGTGGAACGAGAAGTCAAAAAGTTATTTTTCTCGTATTTGTCTTGTTTTAAGATATCTTTGTACAAGGGCAAATATAATGGCATATTTGAATCACATTTGTCTCACATTTCCTCAAGACAAATGTGATAACAGATTTGTCTCACATTTGGGACATTTGATGGGTGGACAAATCTGACATCAGATTTGTCTTAGATTTGTCTTTAAGGCAAATATCATTAAATTCAATTTTTCGTCCAGTGACGGTGTATACAGACTTGTAATAACGAAGGTTCGTGGAAGTGCTGGCGAGATCGATGCAAACGCTCTTACTGTAAACGCTGTGTTTCATAAGTTATATGTGATACAAGGTCAGTTAAGGCTCGTGATAAGATATAATGCGTTCAATGCCGATTCCAGTCATTGTTAGTGAAAGTCTAGGAATTAATTAAGCTATCATCAATACGGTATGGTTCTCGTGCGTTTTTGCCAATAACCCTGTGTTTCACTAAACTGAATGAATCTCAGTCTCTTTTAAGCGCCCCTCCCCCTCTCAAACCCTTCCCTCAAAATTGCTTGGAAAAATGAGCCAGTCAAAAACTCCAGGCAACGAAATTGGTTTCCTCAACACTTATTCGCTAGATTGGGTTACAAAGTGCTTTGAACGGCCCTGTAACTGACTATGGTGATCGTTCATAAAATGAAATTTAACGGCTGCTAGGAAATTCAGCAATGTGGAACAGCTATAAAATATTTTCAACTACTCTGGTCACATACTTTTGGCCTCCATGGATTAAATGCATCACGGCCCTTAATGTCCCTGGAGCTCACGCGCCCTGATCATTTATCACCAATTGTAGGCAAATTTGCCAGTCTGGGTATTTGCTGTGATGTTAAATATTAATTTCTACCTCATAGCCATCAAAACGCACAAGACTGGGACAACACATTGCATTTTGTTTAGAGTTGGAGTTTGAGTCATCTGGTCCATGAACAACACGATACAATGCCAGTCGCGCCAGACAGTATTCACTCTCAGTTAAGTAGTTCAGAATATTCAGCAACCAATTGATCGTCTCAGTATTGTCACTCTTTATGCCAACAACGGCCATATCTGTAACTGTGGTAAGCCCACGAGATGCATAGTCTTTTAGCTGCTCCACAACCGCCGTAAACATTTCAAAAATGTTTGGCTTCGGTGCATTTTCAAGGATTTTGGTCAAAGCAGGCTGCTCAAACAGTTGTCCAGTCAAGCGACCATTTTCATCTTTTACAAACCCTGGAGGATCTGTAATATTATCATCTACTCCAGCAATCTGAAACGAGCAATAGGAAAGGACAGGAGCCCAATAGGTAATAGGCTCCTGCAAAGGAGCAAAGCAAAGGAGCCAAAACTAATGTTAATACTGCTGCGAGGACCACGATTACTTGGGGTGAGAATTCAAACAGGTCTAAATGAATTATATCTTGCCATTGTGTCGCCCCATGTAAACAGGCAATCCAAGACGGTCTTGGATTCTGGATTCCGCGCAACAGATTCCGGAATCCCGGATATTTTTGCTTGTGGAATCCAAAATCCTGGGCTTTGGAATCCAGGATGCAGCTTAAGGAATCTGCAATCCAACTAATGAATCCAAGTTTAATCCGAAATCCACATTCTTGGATTCCCATTATATGGAGGGATTGTTCAGAGGGATAAATGCCTACAAGGCTTAACAAATTTAAATTTAACAAAGAGTTGGGCATTAATTTTCGATCGTTTTGGTATTTGGTAAGTTCGTCTTTAGTTTTTGTTGGCGATATTTTCGCCTGTATGCATGTGTGTTCTCTTTCAATACTCTCTCTGGCATAGATCATGGACAAAGCCGTAGATTCATGAGATTTGTTCTTGTGGGACGTAAAAGAACCTACACCACTGTTCGAAAAGAGTAGGGTACGTAGACCCCGGTGGTGTAGTCAACCTCTACCTAGGCTGGATGGGTTATCTGTAAGGACACACTTAAATTGGAGCCTCGCTCTGTTGTGTGTTCCGCACCATATGGTGGAAGTGATGAAATAAATAAATAGTGTATAAGCTCTACCGGCTACACAGCCGCTCGGTTTCATCGTCGATGGTTTATGCCATGGTTTTAAGCAAGCAGCCAGAGGGCTAACAACGTGTTTGCAATCATTGTGTAGCCCAAGTGGATAATTAATCATTGACCGCGATTAGACCGTTAGTATTTAATCTGTCAGTTAAAGCATCTTCTATAAAAGATCATTAATATAGTCTATCTGGTACGAGTGATAAAAAACAAAGCAAGATTTAACTATTCCCAACAGTCAATTAACTTACGTCAAAAGCCTTTTGATTCACCCAGGCCACGTGACCGCTTTGTCCAATGACACAAATTGGAATTTCAGGGGAAAACTCATTGAGGACTTCCTTAGATAGCCGTGGCAAGTCTGGAATGAGCTCAGGATCCCAACCAAAGAACAGGGCCCAGGGTAGAGGAACGGAGTTTGGATCGAGTGATTTGATTGTTCCTTCCATCTTCGTTTTGACGTCTGCATAGGAATCATAGTCGTACCCATCAACCTTGACAAAAAAATCTCTGCCCTCAACTTTCTGCAAAGTAATAACATAGTGTTGAAGAATGCGAGTGTTCCATTAACAAAGACGAGTCAATTCGTAAACGTGATCACCACGTTTTCAGGTGGTGGCAACTGAGTGAATAGATCTATTTCGATAATATCAATATGCATACTTGACTCCAGCAGGGTACTGAACAGAGTTTTATACGGGGAGGCTCCGCCCCGTGGTCCAACTCCTTACCGCGCATTTATATACCATTTTTGACAGAAAAGGTACCCCTTTGGTATATCTTCTCCTGACAAACCTCCTCTTTCGCAAACCAGTTGTTAGATATTTTAGAACTTTGAATCCGTTTTAACTGCTGTAATTTGCCTGTAAATGCCCTGTCTTAAAATATGAATAGATCACAAAGCCAGAACGTTTTTTCGAATTTTTCAATGTCATGAAATGCATCTGTTAGCCTACTACTAAAGTGCTGAGATATGAGCGAACTGTCAACCATTAAATATTTAATTAGAAAATTAAATATTCAATGGAGCCCGACATTTGCAACGTCACCGTTGTCAGGGAAAACGGATAAATGTTTTACGTGTACCTTCAGAGCTCGAAGCCCGGGATTTTATTGTTCTTTGAAGCAACCACCGTGTTTGCCATGTTAAATGAACTAAATTTAAAGCTGAAACTGTTGCGAAGGTTCAAACCAATCGTAAGAAAGTCAGGGCCCAATTTCATTGGATCATGTGAACACTTAAAGTTACAAAACAAAAAATTATTATGGAATCGTGAAATTAAATAGTCCTTTTTACCGATACGGCGGCATATTGAATTAATTCGATTTAAGGAGTATTATAGGATGCCCAGGGGGGCATGAGCACATTTCGTTTGTACTTTCGAGCGCTTTTCGGGACATTTTTTCTTAAAGTTTTCTTAGAATAAGATTGTAATGGGAAAAAAGATCCTTGTGCCGTGTTTGGATGTAATAATGATCGCCTTTTTCTAGTTTAGTATTAGAAATATGGTCTTTCACTGTATATTTCTCGGGAAAAAAGCGATCATTATTACATTCAAACACGGCACAAGGATCTGGAACCTGAGAGTGTATTTAAGGTTTTCCTACTAATCACTCGACCATCCGGGCAAGAAATCTATGCTTGCGTGAAGCTCATTAGGCCGGGAGCACTCGCATGGAACAAGCCGCCGCCTATAACTGAGACGTGTTACTGCTGTTTAACCCACCCATTTAATTTTTCCCGACACTTTTGCCCACGCTTGTTTATAAATAACAAAAAAGGTAGAGATGTAAAATACACCATAAAAACTGGTTAACAAAAGTCGATTTTTTTTATGTGAAAACTATGTTAATCAGACTGCTAACGCAGACGTTTTTCCAGTGATCGTTAACTTTTCGAGTGGAGACTAAGAAGCGACGGGTTGAATACTTTTTTTTTATGTAAGAACGGTTTTTACTTTCAACATCTTTTTTAAACAGATTTATTGAAAACACCAATGAAATATCATATGTTATCTAATCACACGTGAAAATAATATTTTGTATTCAACAAAGCGTGAGGTAATTATTAAACAACTATAAATTATACTTTGGTCAGAAGCGTAAAGTAGTTTGAAAGCATAAAGTAAAAACAACCATAAATCATATAGATCGTTTTCACTGTCACGCAACAAAAAAATAAATTGAAAACCGTCCAGTGAAAGAAGCCAAGAAAATGATATGTTATAAAAGACTAATTTTTAAACAATTTGTCCAAGTCTGAGGTCTTTTTGGCCCACAGTTTCTGAGTTATTTGCCGAAACGTTTCACGTATCTTTGTAGAGCTTTGTATGGAGACGCCATATTGGTGCACAGTTTTGGTGCACCAATATGGCCGCCGAAAATCAACAAAAACATCTGGAGTTCACTTGTTCTATAAAAGCTCCATCTTTTCACTCGAGAACTAGCCTAGTGCGCATAAACATATCTTCTAATACTTGAAATGGTTATACTACTGAAAAATCAAGAGGAGAGACTTTTTTTTCAACGAGACAGCATTCCTATTTTGGTGTCACGCACTCTGAAAACTCGGAAGTTCAAATTGCTGTATGTTCGAAATGAAACATGCTATGGGACTGAAAACTTGTACAAAGATTAACTTTTTGTTTATCTTCAACCTAGTGTAAATAAGAATTCGTAAAACCTCGCTATTTTGACTTTACAATTTGATGACGTCACTGTGAAAACCATCTATTGTGATCAAAGTGTTCCACCGTTCCGAAGGGAGGGGCACTTCCTTATATGGCAGAGAAAAAATCCTTTCGTAAAGTCACACATTTTTCAGCTAATTTTTATCGAAACATTTCGGTTGGAAATTCTATTCTAAAAAATGGGTTTGCGAAGAAAATCATCACCTAAAATATTCCATACCTTTTGACTTATACGGGAGCACTTTCCAAAAGGAACTGGTAGCTGATAAATCAGCTAACATTTTGAAAGCTCGACAATGACAGGAGCGGCCCCTGACAGTGAACAATATTGCTTTAATGAAAATCTGTGTGGGTGCACGAAGTAATTTAAAAAAAACTAAAAACTAAAAACTAAAAACATTGAAGAAACTTTTAAACTCACTTACCGATTTTAGGATTGCCATCATAATAGCGTGAGAATGGGGCTCAATTAAACCTGGTAAAAGGGTCTGCCGATCGTTTAGATGCACGAACTGTGTCGTTTGCCCTGCTAAAGCAAACACTTCATCACGCTTTCCCACTGCTAAAATAATTGCTCCTTTAACAGCCAAAGCCTCCGCGGAAGGATTCTCCTCCTCCATGGTGATAATAGTTCCACCATAGAAAATATAGTCTGCACATTCTGTTCCCATGTTGTAGCGTTCTAACGAAACTTTTAGCGGTGTACCTTCTTGGTAGTTGCTGCTTGTGAAATGGTTGACTGAAGACGACTCTCGGCTTTTATTGTCGCGTCAGTTGACGTGTGAAGTAGCATTGCCACTCGACAACTTGTTTTGAATAAATTTTCTTCTTGGTTGTCATCTAATACTGAAACAATCAAATAGCGTAGCGCGCGAATGACGTCAAAGTGACTTAATGACAAAAGACAGAAAAACATTAAGAGCAGCTTTCCGTAAATATCGACCCTCGGTTGGCACAAGTTCAAAATTTGATTTCGCTCATATTTGGCTCATCGATAACCCTTAATGAGTAATGAAACATGCTGTAGTTAGTTTTCCCAAATAACGTATTCTTTTGTTAAAATTCGAGAAAACGCAATTTCCCCGTTCCGAGCTCAAAATCCACTTCCGGTAAAGCGAAATTTTACACAAATTCCATTGACTCGTACGCCAAACCACAACGATTTGGCAGCCTTTGAAAAACACGAATAGTTTTTATGACCCTTTCTTTCTTATAAGTCGATAAATTTGTGAAAGCTGTAATAATTTTGTGGCCAAAAAGGTTTGTTAAAAATAGGCCCTATTGACCATTTCTACCGTTCAAAATTATAGGGATAAAAAAATGCAAATTTTTACAATGCGCTATAACTTAAAATTCCGAAAATTGACTTTCTACTGCTTAACTAGGCCCCAATCTATCAGAAAATCGAAACAAATCTCCGGGCAAACGATTTTAAGTAGCCCGCAAGACGTTGAGTTCAATCCTAATTTTGCAAAAAACGGGACATTGCAGTGGTTAAAAATAGCGTGACACGGCCCATCACGCCAGTGTTGCCTATAGATATGCTTTAAACAATTTACTTAAAGGCAGATTAAAAGCCAATTCGAAATTAAATCGTTCAGTAAAACTATGATTCTCATTGATTGCAGCATTTTCTTCAGATACAACATATAGGGCCCCTGGGATAGTGTCACACACTTTCATGTTCAGTTTCAGACTGATGATTTCCCTCGAAAAATGGTATATAAACAGAACAAAATTTAAACCCAAAAACTGATTACTGAATGAATTTTTGCATTGAGAGATATTTACGAATTAAATCATCGCCAATCAATGCCATTCGGTTTATAAAAACTAATTTCCTTGAAGTAATTTTAAAGAATAAAAATATTTTAGATTAAGTATTGGTGCAATAGTTCTTTTCGAAGATTTTACCCTTGCGGGCTCTCAAAACTGAAAAAAAAAGCTAGGTGGATGCCAAAGAGGAACCTATATACTTGTATGACAACGTGTATGAATCATGAAGCTACTGCATGACTATATACATGACCCATTAAAACAAACTAAGAGGACACTTTTTTTGGTGCTTTGCCAGGCTTACCATTAACTCAGTTTCGGGTTGCTTTCGACGTTTCAGTGGAATATTCCTGAAACAAACGGAACGTCTGAAAAGGCATTCGCGTGTTTTCCTGGTCTTCCTGGTCGGAAACTTTCAGGCGGAAGTTCGAATTTCATGTCTTCAAACCTTTTTTGAATATCAGTTTCAGGCTTTCGCGGCCGTTTTTCATTAAACGAAACTGACTTAGGCAAATGGTAAACGCGATTACCGAACGGAATCAAAATTAATCAGTCCTGAATTCTCCTCACCATTTGCCCAAACCGTGGAGCGACCGGTTTACCCATGTAAATAGTAGAAAAGCCTTGTGTCCAAAAGCCTGCGATACAGCTTGCTCTCATCGCTATCTGCCGCTAGGAACATTTCGTCAAAGAGCGGTGAGAGGCGAGTGTATCCCAGAATATGCGTCATATATCTTAAGTACCTTGAGGGGCCTTGTTAAGTGCATAGTAGATCGTAGAAAGGGCAGAACGTTGCAATATTTCTAATTACTTATTAAGAAACACAGAAAACTAGCTATTCCTCTACCCCAGAAAAATGTTAAGAAAAAAAGTTTTTCTGGAGCAGTTCTTTGGAATAGCCTTCCTATATATTGACCAGCAGCAGGCGAAGTCTCTTGGGGTTAATTGAGGGCCAGCTGCAAACAATTCTTCTAGAGATCTACGCGGTACTTACGTAAAGCAGACTAAGGCTTTCAGCCTTATTCGGTTTGTGACAAAGACAAAGGTAAGGTTTTTAGGCCTGCTTGGGCATCCACGTTTCATGGACTAAGGCTACGGAGGATGAAGAAGTTTCCTATTTAGGTGTTCCCATTCGTTCGTTACAAGATACGTCTTAGCTTCAGTATTATACTCTATTTTGTTTCACTATTTTTATTGTTTTTTTTTTTTTCCGGAAAAAGGAGAGGCGGGGGGGGCGGGTGAGGGGGGGTGGCAGAGTGAGTGAGACTGGGGAGAGGATCGAAATGTACGTCGAAAAAATACGGTAGAAACTGACAAAGATGAAATAAAAGAAAGAAAACAAGAAAGAAAGAAAAAAAAGTTCGCAGTCTAAAAGCAGTTGAAAAGTTAGTACTATCAAATCCGTTCCTGCTGATCAATAACAAAGCGCCAAAAGTGCTCGACGCCCAAGTTGAATACAGTATTTATTCGAATAAGCGCCCAACCTCAAATTAGCGCCCACCTCGAATAAGCGCCCCTCCTAAAGGCAGAACAGTTAATAAGCGCCCAGCCTCAAATAAGCGCCCACCACCACCCCACTCCCTCCTACACAAACGTAAATAAGAGATAATAAGAGACCCTCCCGAAGACGGAGTTTTCTTCAGAGCATTTTACAGAAACCTTGCTTTGTTACATCTTCGCTTTTTGTTATTATCATTTATTGTTTTGTTGCAAAATAAACATACTACACTTGCTGAGAATGGCGAAATTTAATAAGCGCCCAGCCTCGAATAAGCACCCACCTCGAATAAGCGCCCACTCTCAAGGTCCAAAAATGTAATAAGCGCCCAGGGCGGTTAATCGAATAAATACTTTATATACCATAAAAATTTGTAAATGAAGGGCGTAGGTAACCTGTAACAGGCCTTCAGATAGTTGGGAAAACGCAAAGAAAAGTGGGCTAGGAAAAATGGCGAAGGGGCGGGGCTAGGGATTGAGGGCGAAAGGTCCTCCTACTCTCTCCCTCTTACTCTTTTCCACGTTTGTTTTCCTCCGTTCCCCATTTCGCGCCACTGTCCTCTATCCACTATCCACTGTCCACTACGCCTGGAAAAGGCTAGTTCATAGTGGGCCAGTGAGTTTTTTTCCAATGGCGATGCAAGGGATCTATAGCTCGTGATCACGCTGCAACTATTCCTGCTTTAGCATTCGTAAAACGCCACTTTTTTCTCTATTTTCCGTTTTGCTGTGGAGGAAAGTTTTTGGTGATTTGTTTTTGATGATGGCGTTTCATCGTCGATCGAAACGAGTTAAAACGTTTTCTGAAACGTTCGTTACAATGTACCTTTATAAGCGTAATAGTAATACATCCAAACGTACATTTATACTTATACATAATTACTTGAAAGAGAAAACTCGCAAGAAAAAAACATTGTTTGAATTAGTTAATATTGGTTATCCCCGTCTTAAATTTAACGTATTTATGCCTTTTGATGGATGCTTAAATTAATGAAACACACCACTGTACTTGTTCAACGTTTCTTTTCGTTGGGCTCGGTCGTCGACGTCTTGCCGACGTCGCTCAAAAAAGCCGACTTTTGGGCAATTCTACAGTATATATTGTATCCAAACAAAATCACTCTTCTAAATAAGATAAGGTCATTGAAAGATGCAATATAGATTTTATGCTGGAATTCGGCATGTGATCAGTGTTGAATAGAATGTTGAAAGTGAATCTGTCGTTAACACCGCTAGCGTGACGGGCCGTGTCACGCTATTTTTAACCACTGGAATGTCGCGATTTTTCGCAAAATTAGGGTTGAACTGGGCGTCTTGCAGGCTACTTAAAATCGTTTGCCCAGAGATTTGTCTCAATTTTCTGATATATTGGGGCCTAGTTAAACCGTAGAAAGTCAATTTGCGAAATTCTAAGTTATAGCGCATTGTAAAAATTTACATTATTTTAACCCTATAATTTTGAACCGGTGAAATTGTCAATAGGGCCTATTTTTAACAATACCTTTTTGGCCACAAACTTATTACAGCTTTCACAAATTTATCGTCTTATGAGAAAGAAAGGGTTGTAAAAACTATTCGTGTTCTTCAAAGGCTGCCAAATCTTTGTAGTTTGACGTACGAGTCAATGAAATTTGTGTAAAATTTCGTTTTACCGGAAGTGGATTTTGAGCTCCGAACGGGCAAAATGCGTTTTCTCGAATTTTAACAAAAGAATACGTTATTTGGGAAAACTAACTACAGCATGTTGCATTACTCATTAAGAGTTATCGATGAGCCAAATATGAGCGAAATTCGAATTTTGAACTTGTGCCACAAAACGACGATTTTGGTCGATATTTACAGACAGTCGCTCTTAATGACAAAGTCAGACTAAGGCATGGGTCGCACTTGGCAAATTTCTGGAAGAATTTGTTTACCTTGCGGTAAAAATCTGTCATCGGGACACATTGCTAAGTGCGACCCCAAGTTTTCAAGTTGGAAAAACTTTGAAAATCGCGAAAAACATCAAAGACGCCGTATTGCTTGGGTGGGGCAGGCAGATTTTGGAAAACTTGAGCTAAACAATAGGAATCACGGCGGTAAGTGTCAGCACTTGTCAGCGAAACGTGACCAATTTGAAACACGATCAATTTGAATCAATCGTTGAAATTTTCTGACCTTCGCGTTTTCGTTGTGGACGGACAAGGCTACCACTACTTTTCGCCATTTCAACGTTTTTGCGAAAACTTTCTATGGGCGAACAATTCATAAGCTTGTAATCCTTCGCTATTTCAACGTTTTTACGGGAACTCTCTACAGGCGAGCCAAATATAGTCTACCCAGGCACCGTCACAGGTTTGTTATTCTCCGAGCTAAATGCAGTCTTTGCAGCCAAGCACTTTATTTTCTTTATTTCTCCCATTCTCCTGAAACTGGGAAAGGAGGAAAACGATCCTACGCCAAATGATCGGACTACGAA